TATTGGTGTTCTTCTTGGACCTTTCAGCATTAACACAAATGATCACTGTCCTTGAAATAATTTTTTCCTTGCCTTCTAGGATATCACTTTCTTGGTTTTTCTTCTACTTCCATGACTGTTTGTTCCTTGCCTATCTCCTTTGTTCATTGTTCTTCAACTTAAACTGAAATAATAGAGGCCTTGTGTCCCAGTATTTGGTCCTTGGACTTCACTTAATTTTCTGACTTTCATTAAATTTCATCTATATACTAGTAATGTCCAAATTTATTATCTCCACACCTTTTCCTCTCCTAACTCCAGACTCATAGATACAGCTAGTTACCCCATAATGCATCTAGGTATTTAAAACAATCTCAAACTTACTTGCCCAAAACTAAATTCTCACTTCCTATACCTATTTCCCTCTCAGTCTGCCTCATTTCAGTTAATAACAATTCCATTTTTCTAGTTGCTTGAACCAAAAGCCTTGAAGATATCCTTAATTCTTTCCTTGTACATCCCATGTTCACATTAAGTCAACTTTGAGAATACATCAGGATTCTTTTTTTTTTTTTTCCGAGACAGAGTCTCACTCTGTCACCCGGGCTAACCTACTGTGGCATCAGCCTAGCTCACAGCAACCTCAAACTCTTGGGCTCAAGCGATCCTCCTGCCTTAGCCTCCCAAGTAGCTGGGATTACAGGCGTGTGCCACCATGCCTGGGTAATTTTTTCTATTTTTAGTTGCCCAGCTAATTTTTTTTCAATTTTTACTAGAGACGGGGGGAGGGGTGTCTTGCTCTTGCACAGGCTGGTCTCACCTCAAGAGATCCTCCCATCTTGGCCTCCCAGAGTGCTACGATTACAGGCGTGAGCCACTGCTCCCGGCCAGGATTCTTACCATTTATTAATATCACCACTCTACCACAATTACTCTATCCCAGGTATGTAGCAGTTATTGCCTAGTCAATTGCAGTAGACTGCTAGGTGGTGTCTCCATTTTTACTCTTGGCACCTGTGGTCTGTTCCCCACACAGCAGCCAGAGGGATCATTTAATTATGGTATAAGTCAAAAATCACAGAACATGCCTCTGCTCAAAACCCACCATTTGCTTCACATCTCACTCAATAAAATACAGTGTCCTTATCATGCCCTACCAGGACTGCAGTGTATAGTGTGTGCCCCCACTTACCTTTTGGGCATCTCATATTACTCTCTCTCTCCCTCACTGTATTGTAGCCACACGGGTCTCCTTGTGGCTTTTCAGACATACTTAGCATATGCTCACCTTAGCCTTTATACTTGTTGTCCTCTGCCTGAAATACTCATTCTTCTGTTCTAATGGCCCATTTCTTTCCTTCAGGTCTTTGCTTGAACGTTACTTTTTGCTGATAGACCTTGCTCTCCTACGTTCATCTGAAATAACACTCTTCCATCACCTTCGTTCTCTTACCATGCTTTACTTAGCCTCATGGACCTGATAAAATTATATATTCATCTGTGTGTTTTTCTTCTTTTATAAGAGAGAAGGACTTCTCCCCGTTACCCCCTCCCCCCATTTTGTTGATTATTGTAGCCTCAGCACCTAGAACAGTGCCTGCTAAATGCAGGCAACTCTATTTAGTGTCAATAATCATTTTCTGAAAATAACATATTGTGCACTAAAATGCTAACAGGGAGTCTATATCCCATTATCTTAATTGGGGAAATTTATAATGCTTCATCAATTTAAAACTCTCATCTAGTTCTCTAAAATATAGTTCCACAAAACCTATATGTCAGGGACAAATTGTCATGTTGAGATAATGCTTAACAGGTTGCACTCTGTTAACCAAACAACTAATATGATTTTATTTATTTATTTATTTATTTGGAGAAGGGCAGGAGGGGAATGGGACAGGAAGGGAGACAGAGAGAGGACTAATAGGATTGTTAATCCCCAATTTGTATCCCGTAATAGTTACTTTTCCATTATACTTGCTGTTCTCAATTACTTTCTTTCTTCACAGTTTTTTTTCTAATACTTCCTTAACTTTTTTGGGACTCATTGTGTAAACACTAGGCAAAAATAAGAGCTAATTATGAAATCCACTGTAGAACTTGTTCAAGATAAATGAGTAACAGCAGAGAATGTTCCACACTAAGTATGAGGCTTGTGCCTCTCAGTTCTAAGCAGCAGTGGAGATTTATTGATACTTAGTAAACTTTTCAAAAAGTCTGACATGATACCAATTGTATTCAGAATGTAACTTAAAATTTTATGTATGCATTTTGTTGTAGAAATTTTATGTTGAGATTTAAAGACAAAAACATAAATTAAAACATTGAGTATTGAGATATATCTCTGGTCTATAATGGTGATTTATTAAAAACCAATAGGCAGGGAGTACCAGTCTAAGGAGTATGCTTTTATTTATTGAATAGGCTCATGTATGCGTTGCATACCTACTAATGTATGCATGTTTTTTTCTTTGTAATAAGAATTTTATTAAAGAGTTAGTAAGAGACAAAGGAGGTTTGTGAAACATACCACCTGTCATAATTAATAAAAATTCCTGTCAGACATCAATCTTTTCTATATCTGTCTGTCATTTTTTTTAACATACTCTGATGTTTTGCATTTTGACCTTTAACTGTTTTGGAAAATAAATAGTAAAACCAAGAAAAGTAATGAAATAAGATTACTAGCACGGCAAATACAGTTGTTATTGAACAAAACTTCACTTTTTATCACCACAGAAAGTACCAGGATATGAAATTCGTCACCAGAATTTCTAGATATTTTGGCAAGAACCCCCAAATCTTTGAAGTAGATAGCCAGAAGGAGGAGATTCATTCTGTCAAAAATAAGCAAAGCTGGACACTAGCTAAAGTGGTAAGGGTAGATTTTAATCAGTAATGTACTATTGCAATAGGGAGGACAGTCCAGCAAGAACTGCGCTCAGCTTTGATTTGTGTGGAGAGAATTGGATGTTTTAAAGGGAGAATGAGGAAATAGGAAAGGGGTGAGCTGGGCTCAGTCAGAGAAGTAAAAATTTCCAAACAGTGGAAAGGTACTTGGTCCATGTACAACCATCTGGACATGCTAGCTGGTACTTAGCGAAGTTAGGCTGCTACCCTCCCACAGAGATTAGGAGACAAGGACCCTTTCTTCAGGTGTTCTGAAACAAACAGTAAATTCTTTGGACAGCCTTGAATTTTCTCAGGCAGGCACTTTAAGAGAGTGTAAGGACATCCTAGGAATGCACGCTTAAGCTGTTGGAGACAACGTTAGTGTTCTGTTGAAGTCTTTATAAGCCATGGTTGAGGTCTAGTTGAGAAGAGGACTCAGGAACCAGGCTAGAGTTTCATCAAGAAGACAGTCTTTGTTCCTGGCAAATTGATGTAAATCAGATCCTATCATTCCCCTTAACAACTGTCCATGACTTCTCATTACTCTTAAAATTAAATCCACCCTTCTTCCTGGGCTCACCAAGCCGTGGCCTAGGTGATCTAATCCCTGCCTGTATTTCCAGCCTTGTGTTGCACCATGATTCCTTCTTGCTTGCTGCGCTCCAGCCGCACTAATTTACTTTCAGCCCTCCCTTTGTACATGCTGTCTCTTTGTTTGGAACACTTTCCTGCATTCTTTGCTTGACTAGATCCTTTTATGACTCTCTGTTACCTCCTTAGAGAGATTTTCCCCAATTCACCTATCTAACGTAGGTCCTCAGTTTTCTCATCCCCTTTGTTTCTTTCAGAGAAAAAGATGCATTACAACTTGCAAATGCTGGTATTCGATTTATTCCTCTGCTTACTCTTTTTTTTTTCTCTTGCCTGCACCAAAATATAATGCTGAATCTTGTTTACAATTGAATATCTATCTCCTAGCATAGGACTTGGCACATTTTAGGTGTTCAGTAAATATTTATTGAGTGAATAAATGGAGAGCCTTCAGAAAAACATTTGTGTGAGCTAAAACAAATAATTTGCAGATTTTATTGACCAAATATCATAAATAAATATACTAAATTGATTAATAACATTGACTATAAATCTGTCATCTATAATATCTCAAATTTTTTGTGGTAGAGTATGTATAACGTAAAATTTACCATTTTAAGCATTTTTGAGTATACAGTTCAGGGACATTAAATATGTTCACATTGTTATACAACCATCACCATCATCTAGAACTTTTTCATTTTCCCAGACTGAAATTCTGTACCCATTACGTACCGGTTCCCCATTCTCCTTATGCCCAGCCCCTGGCAGCCACCATTCTGCTGCATCTCTGAATTTGACTACTGTAAATACCTATTATAAATGAAATCATATAGCACTTATCCTTTTGTGACTGACTTATTTCACTTAGCATAATGTTTTTCATGGTTCATCCATGTTGTAGCATTTGTCAAAATGTTCTTCCTTTTTAAGGCTGAATAATATTCCATTATTATATACACACCACATTTTGTTTTTCCTTTCATCCCTGGATGGACAGTTGGGTTTTTTTCATCTTTTGGCTGTTGTGAATAATGCCACTGTGAAAGAGGGTATACAAATATATATTCAAGGCCATGCTTTCAGTTCTTTCGGGTGTGTACCTAGAAGTAGAATTGCTGGATTATATATTAATAGTAATTTTATTTTTAATTTTTTGAGAAACCACCATAATGTTTTCCATAGCAGCCACACCATTTTACATTTCCACTGGCAATGCACAAAGGTTCCAGTTTCTCCAAATCCTAGCCAACACTTGTTATTTTCTGGTTTTTTGTTTGTTTTACTAATAGCCATCCTAATGGGTGTGAAGTGATGTCTCATTGTGGTTTTGATTTGCATTTCCCTAGTGACTGATGTTGAGCATCTTTTCATGGTTTTATTGGCCACATTTATGTATCATCTTTGGAGAAATGTCTATTCAAGTTCTTTGCCCATTATTAAATTAGGTTTATTAATTTGTTGTCTAACATCTAAATATTTTATGTAATAGAAAACATACAAAAATACTTAAAACGTGTCTTCTTTTTCACTATTAGTGGTGTAAAGTATAATTTGCTAGCTCATACTACCCTAACATTGGAAAGTGCTGATGACAATTTCAAGACCCATAATCTGTCTATTAATGGAAATGGTAAGTACATTGTATATTTTACTTATTACATTTATCTATACATATGTGATGACAGTGATAATTTCTAATTTTAATATTTTCACCCCAAATGCATATTGGCTTAAAATAATGTAGGCATGAGTGATTCTGTGAATTCTTTCAAATTTGTCTGTCCCCTTTCCGAAAAGGAATATCCTTTCCCTATGCTGAGATTTGTTTTTGAGGCTAACTTAGAGCAGAAAGTATTCAAGTGTTCTAAATCTTTATCTTTGACTTAAAATTGAGGACTTCACCACTCTTGTAGCTGGAAATTAAAGACCTATCATTTTAAAAGTTAAAATCAAGGAAATCAACCCTTCTGTTGATAGGAAGCAAAAGATATAAAAAAGAGAAGATAGGGCCAAATTAGTCCTAACCCTTTTCTCTATGTATGATAGTGGTAGTTGTGTTAATAGTTTATCCAAAAGAAATATATAGCAAAGTGAAGAAGGGGGTTAGGTGATTTAGGAAGGTTTGTAAAACTTAGCATGAGCACTCTCTACTCTTCCAGATTATTTTACTTGTGATGAATAAGATAGAGCAGTGTTGGTAAAGTAGTTTAGAAATACGATTTAGATTATTTACTTCTGTTCATTTTCTTAGGCAAAATATATAAAAATATGTAAATATACTATATTATACTTGCTGTTGTAAAGATGGGTAGCTATGTACTCATGAGATTGATAATTTTATACCTACCAGTGTTTTTAAAGTTTCACAATAAAAAGATACATTAAAAATAGAGAAGAGTTTGTGAAATGTACAGTTTAACAAATAATTGTGAGATGAATATCTGTGTAACTACCTGCACATCAAGAAATAGAACATTGCCACCACTGCTTTCCCTCAGTTACCCTAGGTGTACATATTTCTTTGTACTGCCTGTATCTTATACTTTACATCTGGGATAATTTTTCTTTCTGTTTGAGGTTTAATCTTTAGAATTTCTTTTAGTACGTTCTGCTGGTATCAAATTTCTTGGTTCTTTTCGTTTGTTTGAAGATGATGTTATTTTGCTTCATTATTGAAACATATTTTTTTTATAAGATATAGAAGTTTGGCCATTTTAATTTTTTCTTTCTGAATATTAACAATATAATTGCACTATTTTCTGGTTTTTATTACAGGTTGTTGAAAATCATTTGTCATTGTGTTACCTCTATGAATGTAATCTTTCTTTCTTTTTTTTTTTTTTTGAGACAGAGTCTCACTCTGTTGCCCAAGCTAGAGTGCTGTGGCTTCAGCCTAGCTCACAGCAACCTCAGACTCCTGGGCTCAAGTGATCCTACTGCCTCAGCCTCCCAAGTAGCTGGGACTATAGGCATGTGCCACCATGCCCGGCTAATTTTTTCTATATATATATTTTTAGTTGTCCACATAATTTCTTTCTATTTTTAGTAGAGACGGGGTCTTGCTCTTGCTCAGGCTGGTCTCGAACTCCTGACCTTGAGCGATCCACCCGCCTCGGCCTCCCAGAGTGCTAGGATTACAGGCGTGAGCCACTGCGCCCAGCCTGTAATCTTTCTTTTTATTTTCTCTTTGGTTTTGTAAAATTTCACTGTGATATATTAGGTGTAGAATTTATTTTTATTTATGCTGCTTGGGACTCCCTGAGCATCTTTAAACTGTTGACTGATGTACTTCATCTGTTTAGACAAAATCTCATCCATTTTCTTGTGTTTCTCCTCTTGTATGCCCATTAAACCTATTTTGGTCTTTCTCATTGTATCCTATATGTTTCTTGCCGTTTATGATGTAGTTTTCATCTTTTTGTCTGCTTTTGGAAATATTTTTATGACCTGTCTTCCTTTCTCTTATTCCCTCTGTAGCTGTGTCTGATCTACTATTAAACCCATATGCTAGGTTCTTCATTTTAGTTATCATGTTTCTCAGCTCTAGTAGTTCTATTTGACTTTTTCAAATCTTCTATGTCACTTTCTATACACTGAATACGTTAATATTATCTTTTATGTTTTTAATAAAAGAGTAAACATAGTTATTTTATAGTCTGTGTCTAATAATTCAGATATCTAAAGTCTTTCTAGGTCTTTTTTTTTTTTTAACCAGTTCTCACTCATGGTATCTCAAGTCCTTGAATGTCTGGTTATCTTCGTACACCTGTCCACGTAATTGAAATTTTGCATATTAGGAATAAATTGATGCCACGTATTTCTGTTTGCTTCTGGCAGGCACCTAGAAGGTACTATCAGTCCAGTCCCACTTTATGCAAGGACCATGTCTGAGTGTCTCTGGACTCCTCCCAACCCAAACTCTACTCCCAGCCCCAGACAATGGGAATCTGGATAGCAGGGTTGGTTTACATGTAGTTCACCACTACATTATTGGTGATCTCTTTGGGATATCAGCTTAGTATGCAGAGAATCTCTAAACTGATCCCTTGGGCAGACCCTGAACTTCGATTTCTCTTCTCCTTCCTTCATCTGGCAGGAATCATTAAATCATAAGTTCAGATTTGATGGGATTGATAAATGCTTTCAGGGCAGACTTAGCTTCTGTGCTCACTTAACTTGGTGGTTTTCATTAATCTTCAGGTTTGTCCTGGAAATTTCTTATAGTCTTGTTTGGGGAATATTTTTATGATATATTTTATTTGGCATTTTTAGTTTTCAGAGTGGAAAGATTGGCCTGAACAGTCTGGCCTGCCATCACCACAAACGTAAAGTCTGCAACAGTATTTGCATCATCAGTTTTATCAGGAAATCTGATAAACAGTTTATTGTTATCCTATTTTTGTCAATTCTCTAGAATTATTAGTACTGCCACCATATGTTTAGTGCCTATAATGTGCTAGAAACTGTTGTAAACTTTTAAAGCGGTTTTTACTCTTAACACTGTGAGATGTAGTTATAAGGAAGCATTATAATAAAGTGATTAATAGTGGAGATCCATTGCTCTTAGATTCATATTCTAGATCTACCACTGGTTAGTTCTGTGACCTTCACAAGGTCTTCATTGTATTATCATTTACATTTTACAGATGGGTAAGACGCAACTTAGAGAAGGTAACATGCTAGATCACATAGCTAGCAAGTGGTCGAACCAGACTTTAGGTGGTCGACGACAGGCTGTGCTCTTTGTGCTGTGCTTTACTGTCAGGCAGGATTACTATTAAAGTACCCAAAGACCAAAACATTATGATGTGTGAAGATAATGGAGTTGATGAAAGGCCCCATTCTTTCAAACAAATCATCTGAAAAGTAATAGAAAGGAATAAAATTCACAAAGGGAGCATCAATTTTAGCAGCGATTCCTCAGTTGTCTTCAGTGTCCTGTAAGATATTACTGGATTCTCCTTCAACAGAATACTCATGGGCGAGTAAGCATGGAAGCTATGTGTTACAGCTCTCTCAGAGAAACACAATACTACATATTAAAGACTGTGAAAAGACCTGTGCATAAACCTATACAACCCAAAAACTGTTAACATTGGAACATGTAGATTTCACAGAACAGATTTTAAGAAACACCAAACTGTGTGCTTCTTTTTATGTAATAGGTATATTCCTAAGAAGTATGTATAAATCAAAATTAAGTCTTTATGTTAATATAATGGGTTTTCTTAAATAAAGTTATGCCAATATCTACCAAATACTATAAAATTAAGAGGAGATACAAGGTTTTGAAAAATTATAACTCAATTTAATTGTTCCTGTTATTGAAGGAAACAGCCCAAAGGGTATCTTAAGCTTTATATTTGCCATCAAGAAATTTTTATATTTTTTATAAGATAATGAAACCACATTATGAAGACTGACTCACACAGAACTGAGATGTTATCTGCATTCTTTCTTCTGCCTATTTTGTTTTGTTGTCGTCGTCGTTTTTAATCTCCTTTTTGTTCCCCATTTGAAACTATGGATGAATTAGTTAAAGCCTTTGTTTTCTGTTTCATTTCATTTTGTGCTCATACCTCCCTTAGTTAGAAAAGAAAAATTCAGTATTTTGATTGATATGTTGCACATGGACTGAGAGGCAGCATTGAAAAATGGAAAGGGTGTGGTTTGAGGAGTGAGAGTACCCTGGATATGAAATTATGAGAAGCATCTATTATGTGCCAGATACAATGGTAGATGTCATATACACATTATCTTATTTGATTTTTGTAACAGCCCCCCTACTTAAGATAGGTGATATTTTTTAAAATGAGAAATTAATATTCAGATAGGTTAAGTGAGTAGCCTAGATGCCGTATTTCTTGTCAGCGGTATAGAGAAGCTGTAACTCTACATTTTCTTCCACAGTGGTCCTGAGCTGTAAAGAAACCTAGGTTAAAAGTAACAGGTGATTGCTGGATATGTGGGAAGGACATCCATTATTCCTCTTCAAGGACTACAGTCAGGAAGGAATTAATTTTCTTGGCATGCCGTGAAATCTGAACTTATTTTACCAGACAAACACATTGTTACATGTGGTATTTAAGTTCCAGATGATTATTGATTGTACAAACTTATGGACTGGTCTGAGAATCTAATCATCATTTATGATTCTGTTTCTTTAGGAAGTTCATTCTAACTTAAAAACAACTAACTTACAGATACTTAGAACATAAACCAGTCATAAATCTGAGATTGCCTATATTTTTAAAAATTTGCTTTCAAACTGTATAGATCACAAAGTTGATTTTAGCATGTATTACTGAGGTGCATGCTTTTGTAGAATTTTTATTTCATTTTCTGCCTATTTTAGGAAAGATAACTCATTGTTTTTATTTGTGTCTGCATTTTGTAGTCATTGCATGTACTGTGTTTGTGCATTTATTTCTCCCAGGTCAAGTACCTTTCTTTCTAAAAGATAGCTTTAAAAAGATATTAATAAAAAATTTTGAATAGTCTCAGAACATTTGTTTTGTGCTATTCTATAGTAGAATATTAGGTAGGGAAGTTGTTTAAAACTTTGCTTTACTTTGTACTCTTCATTTAGGCTGTTCTTTTTCCTTTAACTGGTACCAAACATTGGCTACCTTGCATCTATGTATTAAGTAGCTGTATTTTTACTAAAATTTTTTTTTTCAGAGTAACTAAAGCTTTTAGGTAAATAATAGTTACAGCCAATGGCTATCCATTTTATGGGTACTACCAACAGAAATGCATTGAAAACTTTAAAAATCATTTTTGTACAGTCCACTGTGAACTAAAGATCATATGTTAGGTTTTTATTTATACCCTGATGCACAGAATAAATTACTTAATGCTTTCCTCCATACTCATATGAAAGCTGTATACCTACCTGCATACTACATCAAAGGAGTGTCTTAATGTTTTTTTAAATAACTTTTTAAAACAATCTGAAGCTTGTAGAAAAGTTGTGAGTTGAAAGTCAAGATTTTTTTTTTTTTTAATTAGAGATGAGGTCTTGCTATGTTACCCAGGCTGACCTCAAACTCCTGGGCTCAAGTGATTCTCCTGCCTCAGTCTTCTGAGTAGCTGGGACTATGGGCATATGCCACCATTCCCAGCTTACATCTCCAGATCTTCCCTCCCGCAAAAAAAATATGAGAGCAAATTGTTTACATGAGATTCTATTACCACCAAATAAGTTAATACATATCCCCTATTATCAGGGCATTTGCTTACATCATCACAACTCTCCAAGTCAAGAAATGAATATTAATGCATTACTAACATCTAATCCTCAGCCTCCATTCAAATGTTGCCCACTGTCTGAATAATGTTCTTTATGGCAAAAGTTGACCCTTGAACAACATGGGGTTTGGAGTGCCAATTCTTGCACAGTCAAAAATTCATATTTGAATTCATAACTTTTGACTTTTCCAAAACTTAATTACAAATAGCCTACTGTTGACTGGCCTTACTGATAACATAAATAGTCGATTAACACATATTTTGTATATGTATTATATACTGTATTCTTATAATAAAGTAAGCTAGAGAAAAAATGCTATGTCTTCACATTGAGTAGGCCGAGAATGAGGAGTGGGGGGATTGATGTTGCTTTCTCAGGGGTGTCAGAAGCAGGAGAAAATCCACATATAAGTGGACCTATCCATTTCAAACCCATGTTGTTCAATGGTCAAATGTGTGCTATTTCTTATTAGAGTTTCAATTTATACATTGATTTATTTATATCAGTAGAAACTCACATTTTCTATTTTTCAGTGTATCGTAATGTTAATACCATTGTTTATTTTGAGGTTCAAGATATCCCCAATTTAGCCAATGGGAGCCCATTCAAAATGGCTCTATGTCTTTTTGACACACCTCCATCATTCTTTTGAGCACTTCCATGCTTTATGGCATATTGAGATATTCCAGCTCATCATGTACTTTCCCTCCCCCATCCCTGGAATCAGCCATTTCTCCAAGGAACCCTGGATGCCCTCTGACTTGACTTGGGGCTCTGACACACTGTTGTTCTGAGTCTAACACATGTGTAAATAAGATTCGGACTCCGATGGCTGAGCTCCTGCCCAAACATGGACACTTTGCTTATTCTTCTTGAGTTCTGGCACCTCACATCAAGCAGCCACCCCCCATCACCCCCATAGAGGCCCTCCTCACTCTGCTTGGGCCCTGATTCCCCCACACCAGGCCATCCTCTTAGTAGAGATTCCCCCTGAGCTCTGTTGCTCCACCTCAGGTATCCTTGCACAGGGACACCCTCCTCACCCTGCTTCCCTGGGACGGACCCCCCAATCTAGGCTGTGCCTCTGTGTAATTGCCCTCTCAGCCCATTCAGGCACTGATACCTCATGCAGGCAGCCCTCCTACTAACCCTCTCAGCCTGCTTGGCTCCAACACCCAGTCCTAGCACACCACAGCTCCTTCCACACACAGCCCCTGGCACCAATGGCCATGTTGGAGGCTCCACCTAATGGTTTACCACTGAATTGTTCAGTAAGAAGGGGAAGAGGAGGGGCCAAAAATGTTTGTTAAATTATCTTAAGTTGTTCTCCGAAATAATGTTCTATTCAGAGGATCACCTTGCTAATTATTATAATGAAAATCACAGCAAAAAGTAAAATTTGACAAATATAAATTCTTTTGTTGAAATGTTTTTTATATTAAATGAGGTTACTTATATTCTCTGAACAATCTCCATTGAATAATTACTATAAGATCAAACAAGGTCAAGAGACTAAACAGTTGATGCTTATTCCAGCTGATAAGATGCTATAAACTTACCAATCTGATATCATCGTGTCCTTTTTACTTTATTATATTTGATTTGGTCACTAAATGTGGTACTGGTATTTGAATAGGATGAATTTTTACATGAAAGTAATTATAAAATATGTTCTTATATAAAGCAAAAAAAATGTAAAAAGAGAAAAATAGAAAACTCAAAATGTATAATGACCTTAAATAAACATATATTTGTAACTTGACTTTTTTCCTTTCTCCTTTAAATAGAGGAGTGTTCATTTTGGCTTCCCCTATATGGCAACATGTGCTGCCGATTAGTCGCCCAGCCAGCTTGTATGGCTGAGGATGCATTTGCAGGATTTCTTAATCAGCAGGTTAGAGGACTTTAACTATCCTACAACAATTGTAGCTCCAATTTAAATCGTAATATAGTGGTAGTCGTTTGACCTTCTAACTTTGAGAAGTATTTTTTTTAAGTCTTTTTTTTAAATGTTGGTTTTCTAATTGTTATCAGATACAAACTTTGGAGGATGCAGGGGTGGAAAAGATGGCAAGGGGAGGGGTCCAATGTAGTTTTGATGGCTGAGGAGCTACCTCTCTGTGCTCCTCTGCTTTGTGAATAGCAATAATGGTAATCAGCCGCAGAGGGCTCCTTGTGGAAACCAGCGAGGGCTGCTTAACACCTCTCACACGAAGGCCTTTCTGGCAGACAGCTTTTGGCACAGTTTAGGCCTCTGAGCTTCCAAAGCTGCCTCTGTGCCACCTACTCCTGGTTTATTTATAACCATGGTTATTTATATTCAGTAAATAATTAATTGTGGGCTTCAATGAATCAATAGCTTTTTCTAAAAGATTCCATTAGGAGGAAAGAAAATTTGCATTCTTACAGGGTAGTCAACATTTTCCAATGCTTTGAGAACAGTAAGGGAAAATTGTATTTTGAACATTCAGAGTTATTTTTATAATTTTCCTGAGTCACTTGATGAATTGCTGTGGAATTCTAAGCACTAATTTTTAATAGACTAGCTTTTCTGAAACTACATTGATTTATGATTTTATGTGTGTAAAAAGTTATATGGTAATCATTACCACCATTTTGCTTAACGCTTTTGAGAATTCCAAACTTTTCTGATACTAACTTACTCTTGGATTTAGGGCAGCTATACTTATTGAATAGCAGATTAATTGATAATTCTATCACATTTTATAAATACTAAATAACTAATTTAACTTTGATAACTTAAGTATTTTGATGAATTTAGAGTTAAGGTAATAAAAGTTGATAGTTTCTTGATTTTCTTTTTTTCTTTCAGCATATAGTAAAAGGTCTGATTAGTTGGAGAAGGCTGTATTGCATCTTGAGAGGGGGTAAACTGTATTGTTTTTATAGTCCAGAAGAAATTGAAGCTAAAGTGGAACCAACTTTGATAGTGCCCATTAATAAGGTAAATGAAATGTTATTTTGAAAATGAAGATTCATTATGAAGTTTGTTCTTGCCTATGCAATTCACATTATTGCCATCTTATAAAGAAAAGGGAAGGACTGGTAAAAACAAGTTAGTTCATAAAGATAATTTAATCTATTCTTATTTTTGTTTCCATTGCAGAACTTATTCATTAAAGGAAATACTGTACATTTCCTAAGAAAACGTAGTAATGGAAATCTGTACAGTAAATAGGTTTTAAAGCAGAGAATGGAACTCCATATTAACAGAATATTTAAATTTTCCATGAATTTATTTAAGATATTATATAAACATAAATTGTTAGCTCATGTTACAGTGGTGCTCTTTCTAGTTAGTATTCAAATGAACCCATACAAAGACATTCCTGACTATACTTTCTGATTTCTTACGGGATTGATGGGCAAATGTCCAACCTTCTGTCAGGACAAGAAAGCCTGACAATCCATTCAGAATTGTTGAATGCTTATACTGCACTTAAAAAATAGTACTACACCACCTAGAGAATCTGTCAAGTATATATATATTGTTTGATGCAAAAGAGACTATTGAAATTTAGCTATAATTTTTCACCTAAAATAATGTAGGAAAATTTTTCAGTCCAAGGCAGATTTCGTTTCTTTTATTTCACTATTTTAAGTCTATTGTTGATTAGAGGGGTTTTCTTTTCCTTTTTTTAGATTTTATCCAATATGTTACATTGATAATTTAAAGAACTTTTTCTTTATTTTATAATTTTTATTTTTAGTTATGGCTACATAATAGTTATACATATTTGAAGTATGTGTGATTTGATTTGATTGATTGATTGATTGATTGATTTAGAGGCAGGGTCTTGCTCTATCACCCAGGGTAGAGTGTGGTGGTGCAATCATAGCTCACTGTAATGTCAAACTCCTGGGCTAAAGCAGCCTTCCTGCCTCAGCCTTCTGAGTAGCTGGGATGACAATTGTGCACAACCACTCTAGGCTAATTTTTTTTTTTTTTTTTTTTTTTTTTTTACTTTTGTACACATGGGATCCTGCTGTGTCTTGAACTCCTGGTCTCAACCAGTCCTCCTGCCTTGACCTCCCAAAGTGCTGGGATTACAGGATGAACCCCCATGCCCTATGCAATGTTTTGATACAGACCTGCAATGTGTAGTAATCAAGTCAAGGTAACTGGGGTATCCATAACCATAAGCATTTATCATTTCTTTGTGTTAGGAACATTCCAATTCTACTTGTTTAGTTATTTTAAAGTATAGTATAACTTACTGTTGACTATAGTCACTTCGTTGTGCTATCAGATATTGTTCATTCTGTTAATGAAAAATAATAAATTCTATTAATAACTATATTTTTGTACTCATTAACCATTCCCACTTTCCACCCCTTTTTATACCATTTCTACCCTAGAATACTTTAATGGTATTTCTGTAGCAAAATATCATGTTATTTTTGCCTGTGGACTGAACCTCATTGTTTTTAGTTGTTTTATTTTGCTTGCCTTTGGAGCGGTTGAATTGAAGTATATGATAAAATATGAGCCATCATTTATGTTCTCTTTGTCTTTGAAATTTTCTTTTAAAGAAAAATGTAAAGTTGTATGTCCTTAAATATAATGGTTGTATTCTTGAAAATATGTGGGTACCAGTCTGCTAATCTGTAAATTCATTAAGTTTATTTCCATGACATTTTTCAATAATAATACTTTTATCTATTTCTGTCCTGCTTTTTGGAAACTATGCTGTTTTTTACGTAAAGGAAATTTCTTTAAAAATTCCAGAATATTATGGGGGTATAAATGTTTTGGTTACATGAATTGCTTTTGCCCTGCTTGAATCAAAGTTATAAGTATGCCCATCACCCAGATAGTGCACATTGTACCCGTTAGGTATGATTTCACCCATCCCCTCCACGCCCCCCAACCTGCATGATTTCCGTTGAGTTTTACTTCCATCTGTGCACATGAGTGCTGATCAGTTAGTTCCAATTTAATAGTGAGTACATGGATTAATAAAATGTGGTATATATATACCATGGAGTACTACTCAGCCACATAAAAAATGAATTAATACCTTTTGCAACAATCTGGATGGAACTGGAGACCATTCTCATAAGTGAAATATCTAAAGAATGGAAAAAGAAAGGAAATTTTTAGTAAGACCTTTTATATATAATTAAGTCCACCTAATTTAACTATTTTGTTTATTAGCAAAATTAGTGTTGCTTTAAGTAATATAAATAAATAACATGTCAATATTATAATGAATTTATTTTGGTTTAGAAAATGAAGTTTTTGAAATATATAATTTTATTAATGAAAAATTGACATACTTTTTTAATTACTTGCCAACTTATTGTTTTGTTTTGTTTATGCAGTGTTCTCTTTCCTCCCACTTTTCTACGTATGTCTTCTCAACATATGTCTAAGCCATTGTCTATAGGTCTACTGTGGCTTCATGCTCAGAAAAGTTCTTAGGATAGAAAAAAGTTCTTCTGAAAAGTTCAAATGTCTTCTGAAAAGCTCAAGTGTACAGAAGAGTTTAAATAGAATAATGAGCCCCTGTATACCTTTACCTTGACTCTAAAGCTCTTGTTAATGTTTTGCCACATTTGCTTACTCTCTACTTAAAATATTTTTCCTGAACGATTTGAAAATCAGTTGCAAACAATGTAACATTTCTTCCCTGAATATTTCAACATGTTTCTTAAAACCAAGGACATTTTTTCATAGCCATAATATTATTGTCACACTCAAGAAATTTATTTTTGATGTAATATTATCTAATATACAGAGCACATTGCCCTGATTGTCCCCAAAATGTTCTTTCTAATTTTTATTTGTTGTTTGATCCAGGACTGAAACAAGGATTACAAATTACATCTAGTCAACATGTCTTTTGTTTCCTTTCATCTAAATTGTGCCCTTCTTCTCTTGCATTTATTCATTCATTCATTTATGTCTTTCATTACGTTGATATTTTTTTAAAGTCCTGGCCAATTTTCTTTGTAGAAAGTTCCCAAATCTATATGTGACTAATTGTTTCATTAGATTCAGCTTAAATATTTTTAGCAAGATTTCGATCTACATGATTATATCTAATTTTTTTTTTTTACTAGATAGCCGGGTAGTAAAAATGGAATCCTACCAGTTTCTTTTCGTACATGTTGTACTACAGAAATGGATAGTCATAAATGAAATTAAAATGTAATCTAAACAAATGATATTTTTAAAGCATTTGTTTTATTTGAAGACAGTCTTCAAGGTATTCAACTCCTGTTATATCAGCCCTTTAAGGTGGACAGAGCAGGTGCAGCAGCCCTGTTTTACATTAAAGCATATTATTTCTGTTTTACAAGTGAAGAAGTAGACTCAGAGATCAATTTGCCAATAGAATTTGCCAAACTAGTAAGGAAAATTATATGGCTCACCCTTTTCCTAATGAGTAGGATAAAAGTAGATGTAAATTTAAGGACAGTTTTTCTGTTTCCTCACAGACATACCACTAGACTAGATTTGGAAGGCAAAATTAGACTTTTTCCTATCTCCATACCCACTTTGAATCAGTTTTAAAAGTAAAAATTAGCTCTGAAATGAGGTTCTGAGCATGAAGCCACAGTAGACCTATAGATAATGGCTTAGACATATGTTGAAACTTTACCATTTAAATTTAAGAGGACATTTGTAATGAAACTCCTCTGTTACTGTAGTCAGTGCATCTGTATTTCCTCTTTGATGACAAGGATCTAATTCCAGAAAAGTGGTTATGGTGTTTGTGTGGCCTGACTGAATTGACCTTTTTAAAATGATTTATTTTTCCTTGTAGTCATAAAGGCTGATGGGCAAGCAACTGACAGGATTCTGTAGTCAGTCAGTGCCATGATTAAGAGGACTGACATCAACAGACATAGAAATTCTGGTGGTTTTTCCACACTGACCATCACATACTCACAGGAAAATTATTAATCTAATAATTTGTATAGATGTGGCCTTAGACTTGGGGACAACGTGGGCTATATTTGATGTTGAGGACTTATGACTTAATTATCTCTTCCATTGTATACTTGACTCTTGTGTAAAGTACAAAAGAGAATTTTAAAATTAAAACATGAGGTAAGAGTTAAGTTTGGGAAGATACATTTATTATTATTATATGTAATGTATAATATATAAATATAATTTAATTGCGTATCTCAAAAATGAAACTTACAGCACTCTTCCATTTTCTAGCTTTGTGATATTGTCATCTTAATTTTCTCCAGTGCTGATTCCTGTCTTTTTCTGTGTAGAAACTTTTCCCTTTGTAGTTTTTACTTCTATTTCAAGTTTCCTTTGATCCCTTCCCCTTCCTTTCACCTAAAAACTTCCCACTCAGTAGTGAATGTCACTGATATCCCTTTTCAAATATGTCAGATGCTATCCCACTCAAGAAATATATTTGTTACTTTTTAAAACCTTGTTATATAATTATCCTATTAAAATAATTTGTATTTGTATTCTCTCAACTTATAAAATAATTCAAATATACAGAAAAGTTGAAAAAAATACCATCATTATCACCCATATACACGTCACCTAGATTCCTCAGTTAATATTTTGTCATATTTGGCTTTATCTCTTTGTTTATCTATATTTTTTGCTGATCCATTTGAACATAAGACTCCAGCATTATGATACTTTATTCCTGAATACTTCAACATGCAACTGTTAAAGAGAGGGGCCTTTCATTTACATATGTAATTATACTATTATAACAGCTAATTAAATTAATAATAATTCCCTGGTGCTGGAGCCTATTCTTCTAAGTGAAGTATCACAACAATGGAGAAGCAAGCACATGTGCTCACTATCAAATTGGTACCAATTGATCAACACTTATGTACATATATGAAAGTAACATTCATCGGGTGTCAGGCCTAGGTGGGAGGGAGGAGGAGATGAGCAAACGCACACCTAATGGGTGGGGTGCGCACTGTCTGGGATGGGCGTGTTTGTAG